TGTTTCTGGCATCTGAACAAGTAGACACAACACCAATTAGATCTTAATCTTCAATGGGCAACAATCTGTGTGAGAGTTTGAACTGCTGAGGGGATAGTGTGTTTTGGCACACACACACCATGTTAAATCTACCATTCACTCAGACCAACTCATAAAACAAAAAGAAAATCTTTCACTCAAAAATAACTAAATATCAAGTACTTCAAGCAATTTAAAGAACAATGGATGTAATAAAGTTTGCTTCATTGTGGATGTCTCAAATGACCCATTTAACTGTGTGGTTTTGGGAGCAAAAACCAGAACCGCACTCTGTGGGCCAGGATGACCGCATGTCATTTATACTACACTGATGCTGTGGGTGGCACACTAATGCTGTGGAAACTAAACAGTCACTGGTCTGCATGTGTGTGTGAATATTCTTGTAAAAACAAAGGGAGTTCTTCTCTAATTGCGAAAAGTCAATGAGGTGCAGGGCCTGGAAAGCACTGAATCATGGGAAATATGAGGACTTTATACCTTTCATGACTCACTCTACTATTCTATCGTGTAATCAAACACAGCACACGGTCACAGTGACTTTGCCAAGTAGGACGTGTTTCTGGATCAACATCTGTTGTCGGTACTAGAACAAAATTTTTATCTAACAAGCGTAGCCCTAACCTTAACAATTAGGTACCAAAACAAAATTGTCTGTCCAGAAAACTGAGGCACCCAAGACAACACAAATTAAAATTCATTATTTACACAACTTCAGTTTGTTCTGATTATAATGAATTTATTTATTTTGCTAAACAAAGTCATACAGGTTTGGATTCATACAGGTTTCGCTTGTTGCAGTAGTGGCTGTTTAGAAAATTATGATAAAGGCAGTTGTTAACCTGTGGGTGTTGATGGTAAAAAAAATTATAAATATTTTTTTATTTTAATACTATTTAAAAAATTTGTTGTATGTTATTTTAGTTTGTTTCAACAGCTTACGTTACCTTGTGTCCAAAAATATAGTACACATTTTGTTTATTAAAGTACACATTCAACTGTATTGTATTACCGTTTACTCTCACCATAATCCTAAACCTACCCTCACAATGATGGAAAAACTTAAATCATTTAACACAAAAATCCAAAATGTTTCTATATTGTTAAAATTACACATTAAATTTTACTTTATTAACATCTAACCTTACCCTCATAGTAGTGTAAAAACAGTATTAACTCTTGTATATTAAAGAGTAATGTGAACCCTTACCTGCCAGAACGCTGCATGTGATCGCCTCTGTGTGTTGAGCCAAGAGTTCTGCTTTAGCAATGGCAGCCAGTGACAAGTAGCTGGACATGTTTCTGCTCAGCTCTTGGTTGCCTTGCTGCAAGAACCGCACAGCTACAGGAACCGCTAAAGCCATCACTGGTGGCCTGTTGTAATTCTGAAAAAAAGAGAAACTTTTACTGTAATTTATCCACTGTTTACGAGGTAAATCTGTCATACAGACTAAAATACAGAGACATTTCATTCAAATAAGGTAAAAATATAAAACAACATGTAGATTCTAAATGGCGAATGTCAAGATCAGAAAATTAAGACGTTAATAGATTCAGAAAATGACTTTATATGGGTAAGCTGGCTGCTTATTTTATTTAATAAAGATAATAATAGACACTACATGAGCTTTGAAAGGCAGCGGTAAACCTCTGAAAAGATCAAACTTAAGTCTGCCACAGAAAGTAGGTTATGTGAAATGTTCTGCTGCCCCCTAGAGCAGGAGATGTGTACATGTCATCAGATAGATAATTCTTGCAAAACACTACCTCATGATTTAGTTTGACATTTTTCCCTATTGTTTTAAACCGTATCTCCTCCCTTTTTAATTATTTATTATTATTTTATTGATTTGTTTTTACATACTGTGTGAATGTTGCTTAGTTTCGGTGTTGTTCTGTACTGTTAACTCTTGAAAAGGCAAAATAAAAATATATAATTCAAAAAAGACTGATATTCTTTCCATCAAAAGAAATATGAGGCTGCTTTATTATCATTAATCAGGTTTTACATGATATTACATTTGATATATAGTTTTAGGGACGACATGGTGGCTCAGTGGTTAGCACTGTTACTTCACAGCAAAAAGGGCGCTGATTTGAGTCCCGGCTGGGTCAGTTTAAAACCACATGAGGGAGAGCAAAGGATAGGTCATTACTTTCATTTCTGGGTGAATTATCCCTGTAATCAAAGATTTACCTATTATGCCCTTTTTTACAGAACATAAAAATAAGCCTCTGTTGTCCCAAGACTAGAGTGTGTATGTGAGGTTTCCGAATACCACACAAATAATGTTTTATAACAGCACATTTTAGGCTTAGATCCTAAATGTGCCGATTTTAATGAATGGGAAATTATGCAAAGAGGCGCACAAATGACATGGAGTCACATACAAATGAAAGAGAGAAAAAGAAAGAACAGAGATGAGGTGTGTGTGTGTGTGTGTGTGTGTGTGTGTGTGTGTGTGTGTGTGTGTGTGTAAAGGTTATTGAGTGGATAGATCAAAGTACTGTACATAAATAACAGAACAAAAATATGCAGCATGCATAACGGTTGACGGCATTTTATTATAGGTCGTAAATATCAAAAAGTGAAGCAAAAAGTATAGATATAAACAAAACATAGATGTATAGAACAGCCTTTTTTTAAACGTGGGTGGGGCTACAAACACCAATACATCAGCATAGCGGCAGATTCAAAACAAGACTCATGTTATCTCTGTGAAAAACTGTCAGAAGTGGCGGCTCAGACAAAGATAGTCTGTGTTCATTTGCACATCTTAAAACTGCCTCTTGGTCACTGACATTATCTTCCAACCCAGGGTCGTTCTGACTACATACCCCTATATACATTTCTGGAGAGTGCCAAATATGTCCCAGGAGCTATGTTTTTTTGTAGTTTTTGTTTTCGCGAATGCACCAGAAGCCGCTGTGTACGCTTTTTCAGATCTCAAATTTCTCTCACGAGTTCCATTCGCGCCTGCTCTACCCGAGGCCACTGTTGACTGACTGAGTGAATGACTGACCGTCTGACTGACCAATCGACTGGCTTACCCTCCTCCTTCCCTAAACCCAACCAATAATGTTTTCAAAAGGACCAATTGACCCGTCCACCCACTTCCCTAAACCCAACCGACAGTTTTAAAAAGCAATGCAGAAAATGAAAATCCCTCGCCTAATTTTTAACATCTTTTCATATGGCTCCTGTTTTTGTCTTACCTGCTTTCTGCAACCGTTCTTTACTGGACTAGAACCCAGTAAACATGATCTACTCCTCTCCTCGTCTACTGACGAGATACTGGACAAACTGGTAACAGTAGGAAAGCCGTCCACACGGACGTAAGCAATCAGCTGGTAAGTGCGAAAAAGAATGCGTCATACCACCCCGTAGCTTTCATTTTAAAGGCGAAATGCAACCATATGTACTTCTGGCTACATAATTCGTGATCTCCAGAAACGTATATAGGGATATGTTTTCAGAAGGAGCCTATGTTGTAATCTTCAGCAGGTACAACGTGAAAAATCCAATGGCTCTGGTGTGGTATGAATTCCATGTTTTAATTGACAGCAAGACATGCTACGTTTAGTTTTTATTGTAAAATCTACATTATAACCCAATGCACAGTGAAATAATATGTTTTGAATGGCTTGTCTATTGGCGGTGACTTGTCTATTACGTATATTTTTATCAAACGAAAAATGCAATGAATTGTTTATTTTGGTTTTCATTTTATTTGAATTAATATAGTTAATAGGCTACACAACTCCTACATGACACTGGCTCCAATTGCGTTTTTACAGATATCCTACAAATAGACTTTTTTTGGCTCAAAGACATTTATGCCTGTCAATTTCAGTTCTGTATTTTGACAGATTTCCCAAAGGCTTCAGCTATTCTACCAGTCAGCTGCACCAGCTTAAGTTTTGCGACTTGACTTGTGTGGGGTCTTGATGTCTGAATGACAGCGAGTGAGAGAGAGAGAGATGAGATCAGACCTCAGATTTAATGTGTGGCCGCACGTCTCAGTTACTTTATTGCAATTTTTAATATTTGTTCATCTAAATGAACTTTTCATCCGATTAAAAGCCGAAATATTACCAGACAGACAAAGCAACTTTCGTTTTTTGAAGAGAGCGGCCTCAGTGATAAGAGATGCACGCACACACAGGATACACTCTTGTCGGCCTATTCATTATTGATTTTTTTAACAATAAACACATAATCAAGTACAAAAAAGAACAGCTGAACTTCGGAAAAGGTGCTCACTGTGGTTGCCGCGATGTTGTTTCTCTGCAGTTGGATTGTCAATACCGCGGCATAGCTAAATCACTCGTTTTAATAAAAAAATAAGATATTTATTATTAAACATTGTGAGATGATGGTCGCGTGATTTTTAAAATGAGAGTATGTGTTGCGTATTTACGGCCATTGATCTATCCGCGACCCACCCATAGTTTAACATAAAGGTGCGTTGAAGGTGCGTGTATAAATTAGTTATGTTTCCTCTAGATAGTGTAATGGAAATTCATTTTTAGATGAACATGTGTAGGGAAAACTTGCTTACTCCTCATCTTTAGATGTGTGAAAAGTCACTTGTGTTCACAGTGTACTTTTGTTTATACAGCCTTACATTCCCGTATGTGACCACCTGGTCCTTATCTTTCCAATTAGGCTTTAAGATGAACATTTGTTAGGGGTAAGGGGCATGGGCTGTGTGATATATGACAGGGAAGCAGCAGGATGGTTTTCACACCTGTCGTGGTATGTGTGGTTTGGGTTGAACTGGAGTTGACCTCGTAAGCAGCACAACCCAGATAAAAGGATGAGCACACTTTGCTTCATTGTCTCACTCTGCAGAAACTGTTGTTGCTGTATGACTGTGACCTTCTTTGCAAAGAATAAAAGCTTTGAAAAGACATCCCGGTAAGACTTTGTTTCTTGACCACCGAGAGCGCCTCCTTAAAAGGAAATTGCCACTACAATTTGGTGTCAGAATAGTGGGATGTCTTGGAGGAACTTTTCCGGACCCTGCGGACGGTGACTGATCATCCTGGGACTTCGTGTCACAGCCCTGCCCCACTTGGTTGAGGGTTGAGGGGCCGACCGCCGGGCTCGGAGAAGAACCCCACTGACATCTGGGAAAAAGAACTCAGTGGCATCTGAACTCTCTGGTAAGAAACAAATTCTTTGTTTATTGTTAAAAAAGAAATTTAACAAGTTTTGGGTATTTGATTAGGCAATTTAAAAGGGTTTTTACTGCAATTTGGGTCATCACCATGCTGGCGGGTCTGTCTCTGTGGGATAGCGGCGTGATTAATACAAGTGAGATCTGACATCAGGCGGGGATCGAGACCTTTTTACAAGTGAGATCTGGCGTTTAGCTGAGATCAAGACCTTACACAAGTGAGATCTGGTGCCTGACTAAGATCAAGACCTTTCTAATACGTTTGGCTAGCTAACTGCGATTTACTCCCGGGAGGGGGTTGAAATCAGGGGGCTGTGCGATTTACTTCCAAAAAAGAGGTTGAAATCCAGGCTGTGCGATTTACTTCCAGAAGGAGGTTGAAATCAGGGGCCAAGCGATTTACTTCTAAAAGGGGGTTGAAATTGGGGGCCACGAAATTAGAGCTGCATAGCTTAACTTTTCGATTTTAGGTGAAAAGTCGAAATCTGTTGGAGACGTCCGACAGATTAATAGGTACCGACAAAGTCCAGGGGAAAGATCATTGCCAGCATGGGGAAGTCCCAAAGTAAGGTGAGAAAATATAATAAACCGGTGTTTTGGAATATGGAAAAAAAATTATATGAAATTTTTTTTTTTTTTAAAAAGCATGCAAGATATAGGAAAACTAATAAAGTATCACAAGTTTCTGAGGGAAAGGGAATGTTGAGTGTTACTAGGTTAAACAAAATGAAAGAGTCGATTGAGAAGGCAGAAGGAAAAGCAGGTTGTTTTTGTGAAAGGCATGTGTGTGTGTCGTGTGGAGACACTGTTGATTGTTGGCTCAAAAAGGCAGATAAGAGGCAAAGAGGAAAATGCTGCAGAGGCAGCTGGCATGTAGGGAAGAGAATGAAGAAGTGGCATGTAGGGAAAAGAATGAAGGAGATAAAGTGAAGGAAAAAGCAAGTGAAAAATGTGAAAGTGTGAATGAAAGATTAATTAGCATTACTAATCTTTTCTATACATCTGTTTCCATTCATGTACCGCCGTACCATCACTATCCCGTGGCTGAGCTGTGAGCCCTGAGAACTGACCCAGACCTCAACTGCTACTATCCCAGAAGACCTCCGACCGCACCAACAAAATTCCCACCTCAAGCAAGTGGAGGACATCTGTTTGAACTGGAGAAATGGACATTTAACGGACATTCTGCTGTGTGCTCAACATGCTGAAGACAAGCTGACAGAAGAAGCAAGAGCAAGACAAGAAGAAAGCGGAAAGGGAGCTGTGCATGGCTCTGATACAAGTGGCCAACCAAAGATCCAACCAACACCTGACAACCAAAGATATCGCAAATTCAAAGGCAACAAAGGTGTCAAGGGTGAGAAAGATACCAGAAGATGGAGAAACTGGAATGTGACGGATGGCGATGAAATCTGCAGAGCCTGTGGTGTACATGACGAGAAACTGTACCAAATGTCTGCGCTTGCCACAGAGATGGACTTTTGGTCAAGGATTGACCCGAAAGGCGCGAACCAACAAAGGAGCTGATGTGCGGAGAGGGAAGAGCAGAACGGAGAGGGTCTGGGCAAGCAGCCAACAGCTACAGTAAAGGGAAGTGAACATATTTTTACTAACAAGTTTAAATGCAGACACATTTTTATACACACATATTCACATACACTGACATACTTTTGGCTCTCTGCAATGAAAAAAAAAGAGCTTGCATTTCCCACTGTAATTTTGATCACAGTAATGTTGATCATTTTTCTGATGAAATGGCATTCTTTTTTTTTTTTTAGTGAAGCATTTTTTAAATATGTCAAAATATGCTATATTGATTGAGAATACATTGGTTGAGTTTGTAGCTGATAGTGGAGCTAGCAGATCTTGCATACGACTATGTGACCTACAGTGTGAAATACCTTTGAAAAACAAATTTCACGAGTCTCTGTCTGCATCTGGTCATACAGTGATCGAGCGATTTACAGCTCCACTGACCTGTGAGACAGAGGGGGGTAAAATTTTCAACCACGCATTTGTTTGTTTGCCAAAATGTCTGATACCACTCATTGGAGGGGATATTTTGTGTAAATTAAACTTAGTTCTAACAGCAGACTTCTCAGGTGTGAGAGTAAAAAAAAAAAAAAAAAGGAGGAATTTTGTTGTTTGCTGGTTGAATCACAGACTCATTGAAAACAATGGGCTGATGTAATCTGCAAATTGGCTAAAGATTGAGTAAAACCTTTTGACATTGATATGTCTCTTGGTGAACTGCATTGCACGTCACATGTCGTAATTTACAGATGAGGAATTTGAGAAAGCTTGGTTTGAGACAAATGTGAATGAAACGTTGATTTTAGAGAAAATGTACTAAAAGGATAGTCTGTGTGCAGTTTCAGTGTCTCTGTCAGAAAAGCAGCTTTCATTCTATCTTATGTTAGCACAGGCTGTGCCTCACATATCAGTTTGCAAGGGTAAACATCAGTCTTGGGCTGATTTAGGCCTATCTGAGAGTAGAGAGAAAGGGTTAGAATGGATTGAGAGCTCGAGAGTATTTCGGGTGGACAGTGAAACTGAAATAGCTGTTTCAAGAACTTTGACTGATATTGACAAAGTTTGCATAAAGAATTCTTGCATGGTTGACTTTAACGCTGCAGACATACATCCAGCTTTAACAGAAATACCAAGTGAATTATGGGCTAAAAGCAAGTATGATGTTGGTTTAATCAAAGGTTGTGATCCAGTCACAATCGCTGCAAAATCTGATTACAGACCTTGCCAAAAACAATATCCTTTGAAAAGGGAAGCCATTGAGGGCATTACCCCAGTATTTGAGGCTTTACTGGAACAGGGTGTTATTGTACCATGCAACAATTCTGAGGTTCGCACCACTATTTTTCCTGTTAAAAAGATAAGGGATAATGGGATGCCTACAGAATGGCATTTTGTACAGGATTTACAAGCAGTAAATGCAGCTGTCAAACAAAGGGCTCCATTAGTTCCAAATCTGTACACAATTTTGTTACAAATTCCTGAAAAATCACAATTTTATTCAGTGGTTGATTTGGCAAATGCATTTTTCAGTGGACAAAGACAGCCAGTTTTGGTTTGCATTTAATTTTAATGGTAAAGGCTACACCTTTACACGTCTGTGTCAGGGTTTTACAGCATCTCCAACTTTGTACAATGAAGCGTTGTTAAGAAGTTTGGAACCTTTGACCCTGACAGCTGGAACTGCTTTGTTACAGTATGTTGATGACCTGTTAATATGTGCCGAGAATGAAGAGATGTGTGTGAAAGACACTGTGACTCTCCTTAAGCATTTGGCTAAGGAGGGCCACAAAGTCAGTTTGACAAAATTGCAGTTTGTTAAACAAAAGGTAACATTTTTAGGGCACGTCATTACACCACACAGCAAATCTCTGTCTGAAAAAAGGGTGAGTGGTATAAAAAAATGTACCAAAACCTCTAACGAAAAAACAAATGTTGTCTTTTTTGGGTATGTGTTCATATTGTCGCACATTTATTCCAAATTATGCAATTTTGGAACAACCCCTGAGAGCCCTAACATTAGGGAAGGGGATGAAATCCACTGACAAACTAGAGTGGACAACAGAGGCACAGCAGGCATTTGTAAACATGAAGTTACAAATGGCTGAGGCCCCTGCATTGGGTTTGCCTGTACCAACAAAACCATTTGTTCAGATGGTAGATGAAAGAGGTGGGTTCATGACGTCATTACTCCTACAGGATCATGGAGGTAGACTGCGACCTGTGGCCTATTTTTCGAGAAAACTTGACCCCGTAGCAGCAGGCCTGCCACGTTGCTTAAGAGCAGTGGCGGCTGCAGAAAAAAGCTGTTATGGCTTCAAGAGATTTTGTTGGGTATTCTGATTTGATACTGATGGTGCCACATTCTGTGTCCATGATTCTCCAAGAACAAAAAACATCGCATCTGTCAACAGCCCGCTGGCTGAGATATCACACTATCTTGTTAGATATGCCAAATGTGACTGTTAAACGATGTACTGGTTTGAATGCGGCTACTCTTCTTCCTACTGAGGAAGATGGGGAAGAGCATCATTGTTGTTTAACAGCACTTGAACAGGTGTGTACACCACGACCTGACCTTTCTGACGAACCACTTGAAAATTGTAACAATGTCCTCTTTGTGGATGGTTCAGCGTTTAAAGATCCACAAACAGGCCAGAATAAAGTTGGTTACGCTGTAACAACTGAATTTGATGTGGTGACCTCTGGGAAATTGCCAGGGTACTATTCTGCACAGGCCGCAGAGCTCGTGGCGTTGACAGAAGCATGTAAATTAATGGCAGAAAAAGAGGCTACAATTTACACTGACTCAAGGTATACATTTGGGGTAGCTCTTGATTTTGGGGCTCTGTGGAAACACAGAAAATTTCTTAAGTCTGATGGTCTACCAATAGTCAATGCTCCTTTAGTGGCAGCACTGCTGGATGCGATTTTTACTAACTGACAAACTGGCCATTTGTAAATGCGCAGCGCACACTAACAATAAAGATTCTGTTTCTGCAGGTAACTCCAGAGCAGATGGAGCAGCAAAAGTCGCGGCATCACGAGACAAGGATTACTGCGAATGTTCTTTGCTATCTGCTGATGATAACAATGACGTGTGTTCTTCTTTGCAGGACATGCAGACCTTCGCGACGGGGCTGGAGAAAAAAAAAAAAACAAGTGGAGACAGTCTGGCTGTGTGATGAAAGATAATGTGTGGATGTGTGCTGAGGGCAAGGCGTGTTTACCAAAACATTTTTTTCAACATTATGCGAAATTACTTCACGGTAAAGATCATGCGTCAAAAACAGCAATGGTTGCGCAAATGAATGAACTGTGGTTCACAAAGGGGTTCACTACATTTGCGGACAATTTCTGTAGACGATGTGTAATTTGCAACACACATAATGTGGCCAGAGCGATAGAAGTCCCACAATCATCTCATCCACCTCCAACAGGGCCATTTGAATATTTGATGATGGATTTCATTGAATTGTCCCCATGTAATGGGAAACGGTACTGTTTGGTGATGGTTGACATGTGGTCAAAATGGGTTGAAGTTTTTCCAACCTCAAAACAAGATTCGGCTGCGGTAGCAAAAGCGTTACAGACGGAAATTGTACCGCGATGGGGAATACCACGAAAAATAAGTTCAGATAATGGTACTCATTTTGTTAATGAAGCAATCAAACAAGTGGGCCAATACTTGGAAATTGATTTGAGAACACATTGCAGTTACCATCCAGCTTCAGGAGGAGCTGTTG